CGGTGTAAGGAGCGCTGCGGCGGCCGTTGGTGCCGCCGTCACCTTGTGTAACGACCTTGCCGCCCCCGCGGAAGGCGCGCGGGCGGGCYGGCGGGCGGGCGGGGAGCCGCCTCCCCTGCGCTGTGTGTCCCGCGCCCGCCCGCCGCGCTGGCTGCGGAGCGACACCTGCGAGGCGGCAGCAGCGCTTCAGCCGCTGCTCGGTGGCGGCCGGACTTATGTAAGGAGCCGGGGGCCCTTCTCGAGGCGGCCTTGGGTTTTTTTTATTTATTGCGACTAAGGGGAGCTCGCTTTGCGGTGCGTGGAGCGGGAGGCAGACGAAGGGTCGAGTCTTTCGTGGTCGCTGGCGGCGTCCGTGGTCCGTGCCGCCTCTTGCAGTCGCGGAGCGCCGCAGATCTCGTCCTCGCAGCTCCTGCTGCCTTTCGGGTGTCTAAACTTTGGAGAACTGCTGGTTGCATTAGACCTTGATGTGGCATCAATCTCCTTTGAGAACGGAATAACCCTTAAGTGAAGGTTGGCTCTGAAAGTCAGATGWTGGAGTGTATATGGTTATTTCCCTTGAAAGCTCTGTCACTTGCCGTCCCYTCTCCCCCAGATAGCCCGGTAGCTTTCTCAGCATCATAGTTCATATTCATATTTCGTAGTTCATGTTCACAGTTCATATTCCAAAGTACAGGAGTGAATATCTCTGCAAAGAGCCCTCTGCTCTCTTGCCACAGATAAGGAGCAGGGCATGTCCTTGGTGTACCTATTACAACGCAGTATTTGCACTTATTTGCAGATTAGGGATATATCTTTACTGTGAAATTAATGAGATGACCTTAGTTCTCCATTCAGAATATTCTACCGTTTCAGAAAGGACTGAAAGCTTCTTTCAAAATGGGAAAACCTGTTAGTTCTTGTTATTTATAATGGAAAACATTTTGCCTGGGGGGCACCGAGCCCAAGTTAATTTAAATGAGTAATTTACCTTTTTATTTCTTCATTTTTACATAAAGAGTCTGACTGTTCTCCATGAGAAACTGCTCGCTGCAAGACCACAGCTAACTTAGTTACAGGTGGCTGTACCGAGCCTAATAGTAGGGAGAAAAAAAAACATCTTTTTTTCCTGGTGATTTTTATTRTGTATAAAATACTACTTTTTTTTAATGGCGATTTAAAAAAAAAAAAAGTATAAAAAATGTGTAAAGTAACATGAAGTTACTTTATCCTCTTATCCTATTATTGTCCTACTCTCCCTAACCATGTGATAATGCAGGGAATAATTTAATCTTGAGATGGCCCATAGGGCAGTACTGAGTAGGTAGTACTRAGAGGAAGGTTCTGTTGTTCATAGTTTGATGTATATAGGCTGCTTTCTGTCACTCTTATAAAATATGGTTTTCTTTATATGGGTGGAATAAGGGTTAAATGAGAATACACCTTTTTCCCTTTTCTGTATAATAAATCCATTGTGCTCTTCAGGAGGATGCTCATACAGCACACACCGAGCAAAGTGGCTGACCCTTGGTTTAAGAGGATCTGGTTTTAAGCTCCTGCAAGTGAACTGCCCAAAATTTAGGAAGCTGTAAACAGTGCTGTGTGCAAATTATTTAAAATCCTTAATCTGCTTCATAAAGTAGAATCTGGCAAAATAATGAGGTGCCCTGAGTTCCTCACATTTACAGTTTCTCAGAATAAAGACAGTGAATGTAAGGTCTTAAGTCATCTCCCAGCACACAGCTGCTTTTTCTTTCTCTTCCTCTGATTTGGGGGTGGGGGTGAAGGGAATCTTTAAACCATCGTCTTCTACACTTCAAGTAATGTGTAGAATTCTATTAGTACCACTCATTTCCCTTGAAGTTTGAAATTGTTTTTACGGGACTTGTGAAGTTATCGTTATGGCACTGTGTGATGCTGTCAACCAACAAGTCTGCTCTTCTGTTTTTATTAAAATAGCTTGATGTGTAGTTTTCCTCCTCACATTGGCTCTAAAATTTAAAGAAAACACCAGGAGTAGTTGGCACAAAATGTCCTTCAGTGGTGTAACAATTTGATTGTTGGTAGGCATTTTGAAGGCTTTTGTGAATACAGTGTTCATATTTGGAGCAGTTTGAATTCTAAAGAAGACKTAATGCTTCATAAGAGAATGAGAGATTTGGCTCAGTTTTATTCCTAGGAAAAAAACATAGTGATATGGGAGATGCACTGGCAAACATTACTTAAAAGCTATTAGCTGACAGATTGTCTGATTTAGTCTTTGCTTAGTCCATGAAACAAATAGTGGAAAGAAGTCTAGTATAAAGAATATCAAAAAAGCTTGGTTCTGAGGCTGTTCTTGTATATATGTATTATTCCCAAAGTGTCTGCAGGAGTAGTTTGGTCCTCCTGGTTCCAAACTGGATTGGAGCAGTGCAACTTAGTAATGAGCAGCAGAAGCATCTGTTGAAGAAATGAAGGTGCTGCACAGAGCTCATCAACCAGGGAGTCTGGCAAGGGGAAGCTTGCTCTAGAATCAAGCAGTTTAGTATTATGGTATCTTCAGTTCTAAAAATCACTTTAATGATTGGAGTGATACAATGCCATCCTTTATTCTGTTTACTTTTGTGGAGTTAGCATTTGTGCATTCCATATATGTGCACTTCTTATGTACTTGACAAAAACCCTTTTGTTTTCCAGATTTCAGAATTTCAGAAGTGGG